TCCCTCCTCATAAGCACTTATCCAGCACTGAGTCTCTAACATAAAACATGTTGGAATACAAACACTGGCTCGACAGTCCTTCAAATTTCTTATTGCAGTAACAACATAGTCCCTATAGTGTTTTCAAAGTTAACCTTTCTGTATTTTATAATTCTCCCTTTGTGTAATTTAGTCACATCTGCTGTAGAGTTGCCAGCTGTTTGGTTAACTCAGTAGTGAAGTTCTGGTTTTGCTGGAAAATATGTTGTTCCTGCAAGTTGTTCCTTCAAGTGAAGTTATTTGTTAGTGAAAGAAATTGTTCCAGCAGCACCAAGTTGTCTCTTTTTTTCAGAGATCTCAAAGCTACTGATGTGTAATAAAATTAAGGTAGTTGTTCACTGTACACTGGACTTGTTACTGAGAGTGAGTAATGTCACCAGGAATTAGTGACCTCAACTTCAAGTGTGGTATCTGCTGAAAAATAGATGCCACTTCTAGAAGCTGGTTAATATGGGAAGTGAAGAATCAAGTGTTGTTTCAACATTCACATTTTTCTGTGTGAATCACAGCCATGGACCCTTTGGTGCTGAGACAGGATGACATGATGGATTTGCACTACCATTTACTTGCTAAAGGTGGAATGTCAGCCATGACACTGATTGGTTTTTAATTTTTTAAAATCATCTTTGACATCAAAAATGTAATTTGCTGTAATGGGTGCTCATGTCCTCTAACTTTCAGGATGTGCTGCAGAAGTACCTGTGATAAAGTCAGTATACTACAAAAAGACTAATTTTTAAACATTCAGTTCTTCTGGGGAAAAGCATAATCTGCCCAAAGAACAAAAGCATTTTTCCCCTGTCTTTGAGCATTAAAGATAAATTTCTGAATCATCTGAGGAGTGGAAAGGGACGAAAATTAATCTGTTTGTTGCTGATTTACGGTGCCTGAATTCTATTCTGTGACCCAAGTGCCACTTGAGAATGTGTTACACTTCTACTTGATTAACTGGAATCCAAAATACTGTCCAGTAAACAGTCTTTCCCTTGCCTCTTAGTTAAATCAGTAAAACCAGACCTTGCAGAAGGGTACATGAAGATGTGCCCACTCCAGAGTTGTGTTTCAGTGCTCCACAGAGCTAAAGCTTCTGCTGTCTCTTTGCAGGAACTTCACACAGTGCAACAGTAATTTAGGGATAAACTACTCCTGGGGGCCAGGGGTTGGACTCAATGATCCTGGTGGATCCCTTTCAACTCAGGAGATTCTGTGATTAAATTTAACCACTGCCAATTAGTTTTTAACCTCAAGTTCTTTGCTTCTTGCTCATGAAAAAGTTAGCTGCATCTTACAGACACGTTACAAAAGCTCTTTTCAGATTCTAGAGATGTCAGAGAAGGTTTCTCCGTTCGGAGGTGTGGTAATCTTCAGTGAAATAATGTATTTATTACTTCATTTCCTGAAATATTTCAGATCCAGACTTGAAGCTGTTCAAGTGTACATAAAGCACGCCCTGGAAGAAAGCCTCAGCTCCTGCTGAGGGAGTGAGCTCATCCCCTTCTCAGGGCAGGCAGCTGAAGTATCTACTTGAGAAAAAACTTCAGTGTTTGGGTAGATATCTTCTGCCCTCCCTGTCACTTGTCCAGCACTGTCAATCACAGAGGTTTGAAAAGAAACTCAGGAATCACCCCAGGGCTGATGATACCAACTCACCTCATTCAGTTGGGTTTGACCTACCATTGCCTCTGCAGTGCCAACCTTGGAAGTGATGGTGGCTCAGGTGAGCACTGCTGTGTCTGGCTCTGGGTTTTAAACACTTCAGTGCTTCCTGTGGCTCTAGGAGAAAATGAAAAGCAAACATGAAGAGCAAATGTGTGATGGCAGCCCATAAACCCCCCATGTGCTGGGCTGATCCCACAACATGGGCAGCAGGGAAGGGGGGGATCCTGCCCCTCTGCCCCGCTCAGGTGAGACCCCTCTGCCGAGCTGCCTCCAGCTCTGGGGACCCAGCTGGGACATGGAGCTGTTGGACCAATTCCAGAGGAGGCACCAAGATGATCAGAGGGATGGAGCACCTCTACTGTGAGGAAAGGCTGACAGAACTGGGATTGTTCAGCCTGGAGAAGAGAAGGCTTTGGGGTGTCCTAATTGTGGTCTCCTTGTACCTGAAGGGAACCTGCAAGAAAGATGTAGAGAGACTATTTTTACAAGTTTGTTGTCATTTTTGTCAGGAAGGTGAGAAAGTTTTTTGTTGTGTCCTTTCAGCTATTGGATTGAGGAAAAGGTATCATACCACTCCCTCATGTTAGTTATGAATGTTGGTTCCTGCGAACCTCTGACATTGCCAAACAGCCTTTTTTCATTTCTTTGTTTGCAACCCTGCTCTCCATTGAAAGAAAAGACACTTTTAGATGTGTCAGGAAATTGCTTTGTTATACTGATGACAGCCTAGTTCTATCTTTAGCCTCGTATTCTGGAATTGCAAGGTCCAGCCTTCCCTTTCTGCGAACATGTATGACCTGGAGGAAAAACTTTCCTAGCAGTAGGTTTGTTGTTTCCACTCTGAAATGGTGTTAACTGATTAACTCGCAGATACTGCTTCACCTTACGAGTCTTGCCTTTCTGAAGGGAGGAAGAAAGTTGCCAAAAGCTAAATATAAATATTGTGCAGTGGAAAATGCACATGTGCCTGCTCTGTGAGCATGAACTGATGTCTCCCTGCTGAGACCAGCATGAGCTGCTGCGCGGGGCTGCAGGTTAAGAGAGTTCACTCAGCAGTGACTGCAGGACATGCTGTAAATCTACACCCCTGGTTTCTCATGGTCATTTAGGATCTGACTCCAAGACTCTCCAGGTGGTTTTTGACATTGGTACAGTGTGTTCACAGTGTGGTACAGTGCTATGAGCTGGCTGGTACAACCCTCTGAACATCCAGTCTTCCTCCAGTGTTAGTAATACCTTCCACTGCTTTGAATGAAGAAGGAATCTGTAAGGTAGCTTTTGCAGCAGACAGAGCACAAAGTTCGTCTCTGTTCCCAGGGTACGGATGCTCTTCCAGGTGACCAATGCCTTAGGAACCTGGAGGCTTGTTGGAATTTTTACTGCAGGTGCTTGCAGGAACATCTGACCTGAGGGCAAGTAAAACCTGTTCCCCTTTACCACTCATACAACTCCATGGCCTCCTCCCTCATACATTACAAATCATCTCTGCTGTCTAATCCTCATTCTTTCCTCTTCCCAGGACAGTGTAAGTGATCTCCTGAAATTGCTTTCAGCTCTATAAGGTAGGCAAGAAGCCAGCAGCAAAAAGAGAAAGGTTTGTCAAGTGGAGACTAGAAGTTCATCAGATTTTTAACCCTTAGGCCTGATTGGAGCTTTCACAAATCTCTGATTTCTTTGGGTTTAGGGTCTCCTGTTACAATAACTCTTGTCGGCTTCACAGATTTGTTTGAGAAGTTTGCTTGATTTACTTATTTTTATAATTATATGTCATTAATGACGCCTTCTTTGGGGTTCCATTCTCTACTCATTGCTATGATTTAACCTTTCTTGTGTCTCACAAACATACTTTTCAAGCTGTCATTAAATCCTATGCATTTCACATTTTCTTCTAAGTTGGTGTTTAAATCTGAGTTAACAAGGTAGCCCTGTTTCCTGGCCGTGCCATCTCCATCATTCTTCTCAAAGTCTTTTGAGCTTCCACCTTTCCCTTCTCTGAATGTGTAAACACAACTGCTGTTTTCACCAACCAGGAGCAGACTGAATAAATTGTATAAATTGTAGACAATATCAGATGCCTTATTGAGAGGATGCCTGGTACCCTGAAGAGTATAAAAAGTATAAATCCTCCTAACTCAGAACATGTGTTTTCCAAGCAAATGACTGTTCTGTCAGGATACTTACACAGTCCTTTCTCCTTTGGGCAGGTGGTCATTTGGATGTGAGCAAAATCTAGCCAGCAGTGTTTGTCTCTTATTCCAAATGTGTCTTTTTCCATTCCCTTGTTGTTGATTGTTGTGGTCATTTCAGCATCCTTGTGCAAGCTTAAATACACCTTCCATGCTTACCTACCCTTTTGCTTGAATCAGGTTCTGGATGTCATCCTTCAAGCTTCTGCCTTTCTCCATAAGACCTCAACTGAGTCATCCTCCTTCCTCCCTGCATCCAGTCTGATCTCGTTGCCTCTTTTCCATACATTGTCCATTCTGTGCTATTCCGTAGTGTCTATCCTTATCTAAAAACATGTGAAATCTACAAAACAAAGCCATCAAACCTTTATTCAGTTCTCCTGTGTTGTTTTGTACTCTTCTTGTGTGTGCCTCTAGACTGTAAATTCAGGCTGGGACATGCTTTGTCTGATGTTCTTTGTGTGTCATGGTAGTAGAAGAGAGGGAACATAATGTGGTAGGAGAGATGGGAAGCAGAATAGCACAGGGAGTGCACTGCCTTTTAAACACTTAAAGCCAGGTGATAAATGTTGCTGGGAGCCACCAATCACTTTCTGCAGTGTCTTTGCCTAATCCAAACTTACGTACACCACATATAGTTAATTTGTGGTGTTGGGTGTTCCTTATGTGATTAAAATGGCAGCCAGAGAGGAGAGAACCCTGCCATGACATCAGCTTTCCAGAGAGCTGTTTAAAAAGCTGGACTTTTTGCTTTTAGTCCTGTGATGGGTCATCATTTTAATACTGGTAAATATTTCTCATTGTGGGAGCAAACTTCCTTTTATAGTATCCGCCGCTGTTTTTACTGAATCCAGCGTAGAGCTGTTTCCTATTTCTGAGTGTTCGCTCACACTCAGCAGCTCTCGTGTGTTCACGTGCTCTGTCTCTTTCTCAGCTTTTTTAACCCTGTTGATCTATTATTGTGACTTTGGCCAGACGACGCCAGCGCTCGGCGTTTAATGGGCTGAGAGCAGGAGCGAGCAGCAGCTTCCTCTGCCTGTGAGACCATGATGTCAGCAGCTACTTTGGGTTCCTTTGCCATCCGCTGCTGTTGTTGCTTTGGTGTGCGTGGAAAGAATTCGAACAGCACTTTCCAGATGTTCTCAGGGCAGCTGGAAAACCGTAAATGGATTGTTTGGTTCAGGAATATTGCTGATCTGTTTAGGACACGGCAGTGAGTAGAGTCATAAAAACACACAGCTCCTGAGCAATGTTGCTGTCAAGTGGGTTGTTAGGGTGTTAAGAGAGTTCATAGATCATTCAGGACTTGAGCTGGGCAGATGAACTATATACCTGCTCTCCTTTCCCTCTCTTCCCTTCCTTCCTCCAGCTTCAGCTCCTGAATGAAACGCAACCACATCTTTCTGATCTCATGCAAGGCAAATGCTGTTTTGTTCATCCAGAGTGCCTTCAAGTTATCTCAGCAGTTAAAGAATGAAGAAAACAAAGATGATCTAGTTTTAAAGTCCCAGTATAGTATTCGGTGTAGTAGGAGCTACTGATTAAACATGGGGGTGTTTCATCTTGGTGCACTGTAGAATAGGAATTTGGGAGCCGGTGTTTCTCATGCCTCTCCAGGGCTGGAAAAAGCATCAGATCTCACCCACTTGTAGTATATCCAAAAAAGTCTATTTTGGGGGGAGAACCAGTCAGTTCCTTCTTTAGGGTGGGTAGGTGTTTTTAATGCATTAATTAATTTTTATTGGGTGGTGGAAAAACTGATGTCAGAGCTGCATTGCGGTTGGGCGTGCAGAAACACAAGGTGGTAGGAAATAATAGAGCCAACACATAAGGGCAGGGAAAGTTTAACCATGGGGAGTTTAAAATAGCGAAGCTGAGCTATATGGATATTAAAAGCTATGACTGAATCAAAACAACGATCTAATATTAAACTGGATTTTGCTGGGGGAGTAGCAAACTTGTTGGGTTCATTTCTCTTGGGTATCCAGTGTCCAAGGGATGGTTTCTTGTCTCAACACCTGGATTTCTGACTTTGGTGTTGTCTGTTTTGGTCTGTTGCAGGATACAAACTATAAACTCCAATATAGGTTGTGTCTCACTGTTTTTTTTGCCAGACATCTTTATTCAGGAGTCTGCAGAGTATCCTTTTCCTTACAGTGGTCTATAAACTTGTCCAGCATGACTTCTTCCCTGGCTTCTCTCGCAGTTCAGATTGCACAGATCCATGACAGCGAGGCGGAGGGAAGTGCTTTGGAAATTGGAGCCAAGGCAGAATGCAGTTACATAACTGTACAAAAGTAAAGGGCTTTTTGTTTTGTTTTTCCTTCTCATATCCTCCTGCGTACTGAAAAAAATGTTGTTGGAAAGCGGGATGGAAAAACTTCAGCATCATTCATCCCTGTGGGGACATGAAATATACTGAAATGTTCCACCTGTTTTATGGCTGTTGCTTTTCCTCTTTCAGGTTTGACATCTACAGGAAGGTGCCAAAAGACCTTACACAGCCAACCTACACAGGGGCCATTAGTAAGTAACTTCTTTTTGATCTCCTTGCATACTCCTGGTCTAAAATTAAAACTTGTTTGGCCTCTCTGTCTCTGGGAAATTTTTTTAAAGGGATATTAAACACTGGAAAGGGTGTCCTTTGTTGCTGAAACAGGTTGTTTTACTCCATCAAATAGTGGAGTAGTTTGTATGCATTCAGAATCGTAGAATCACAGAATGGCCTGGGTTGCAAGGGACCTTAAAGACCATCTCATTTCAACCCCCTGCCATGGGCAGGGACACCTTCCACCAGACCAGGTTGCTCCAAGCCCCATCCAACCTGGCCTTGAACGCTTTCAAGGATGGGGCAGCCACAGCTTCTCTGGGCAACCTGTTCCAGGGCCTCACCACCCTCACAGGGAAGAATTTCTTCCTCATATCCAACCTAAATTTCTACTCTTTCAGCTTGAACCCATTCTCCCTTTTCCTGTCACTCCAATTCCTGATGAACAGTCCCTCTCCAGCTTCCTTGTAGCCCCTTCAGATACTGGAAAGGGCTGTGAGATCTCAACACAACCTTCTCTTCTCCAGCTGAACAGCCCCAACTTTCTCATCCTGTCTCCATAGGGGAGGTGCTCCAATCCCCTTCTCAACTTTGTGGCCTCCTCTGGATTTATTCCCATAGTTCCATTTCCTTATTATGTTGAGGGCATCAGTACTGTACACAGTATTCTGGGGGGTCTCACCAGAGCAATGAAATATTGTCATGAAAGGGAGCTCCTAAAAACTGGTGTTGAAATTCCCACTCTGCTGTCTCCTGAAGTAGCTAGAGAGCTTTTTGTTGGTCTCTTCCCAGGAACAGAAGCTGGTCTGCTCCAAACACTGGGATGGGGATGACTGCAGGTTTATTTACCTCTGACAGGCACCCCCTCAGTCACTGTGAAAAATTACTGTTAATAGTTGCATTCACTGTTGATGTTCCCAGGCTTGTGCTTGTGGAAGAGACTTGAGGAACTAAACCACTGCTAACAGGGAATCCAGGTTCTGGATCCACAAGAGGCAGTGTGGGGGGCAATGTGCAGTGGCCAGTGGTGAAGATGATGCGGGAAACATGTATTTTGCTCACAGTGTATTCAGGGAATTAATCTGATTATATAGGTGGGACTAATGAGCACAGATGTTATTTTGTTGTTATTTGTCGTGCTTTTAGAGAATTAAAATTGCTTGGGCAACCGATAGCGATCCACTCTCACTCCTGTGTATCAATACATAGACTTTGGCTGATACAAATCTCTTGCCTTGGGCCCCTTTTCCTTCCTTCCTGCTCCTGAGGGAGGCTGGAGGCTGAGTAATGCAATTTCACACAATTATGTGCAGTGAGCTGCTGTGCGGGGCAAACATCGATCAGGTTGATCCTGCCAAGCCTGTAATTACACTCCTAATGCAGCTTTCCTGTTCCATTGAACAGGCACTTCCTTTGATCACAGAGCTGTGCTCCATTCATCCATTCTTGTAGATGGGTCAGGAGTCTTGTATGTCACCACTGACGTGAGTGATGTCATATCCCTTGGTGACAGCAGATAGAACTGAGTCAGGGCCAGTGAATCAGTGGACACAAAGGAAAGCCCTTTGTGGCCTTAAGAAACTCCTTGCTGTGAGGATGGTTGAAGACTGGAACAGGTTGCCCAGGGTGGTGTGGAGCCTCTGCCCTTGGAGATGCTCAAAACAACCAGACCTGGCCCTGAGCAACCTGCTCGGAGCAGGGGAGTTGGACGGGATGATCTCCAGAGAGGTCCCTGCCAGCCTCAACTATCCTGTGCTCCTGTGAAGATAACATGTTACCCTAAATATTTACTGTCAGAGTCCTTGTCTTCTGTGTTCTCCTGACTGCTGAATTAATTGTATCCTGACTCCCTTTTAGGTTTACTGAAGTTGTGAACAAAGGGCTTGACTAAAACTGTTTGCGAATTCAGGGGCTATGAGATTTAGTGTTTTGAAAGAACACTTTGAACTTGTGACTGATCCTGCCTTCCCTTCTGTTTTGGAAACTAAGAGTTCCCACACTGTACCTGGGCTCCCTTTGAGAATTTGTCTTGTTATGAATCACCTGCAAAAGAGTATTTTAGAAACAAAAAAGCCCATCAAAGGCCGTCCAGTGTTAGGCTTTCTGATCTGCAGTAAACAACTCAAGTGATAAGTCTGTTGTGGGAAGGCTTGAAGGTTGTGACTCTTACTTAAAATTATTAACTGACTTATTTCTCCCTATTGTTATTTGCAGCTTCTCAGGCTTTGATTTTCTTCTCTAACTGGTTCTCCTTCTTTTCCTCAGAGTGGTTTTAGACAGGCTTTAGATAGAAGCTTTTGAACCACACAGGCAGCCAACAGACTGGTGGCTTTGCCTGCGAGGATCTGGTGAGCAGCTTTCCTAATGGGCTTTCTGTCTGACCAAGCCTGTGGCTTGTAATTTGAAAGCCATTAATCTTACATGTTGTAGGAGGCCATGAATGAGAGAGCCCAATGCCAGGCCAGTTTGAAGCCTGGGAAGGTTGCATGATTTTGTGATAAATGCTTTAGGGAAGTCAACTCATAACAACATTGGGAGCTTGAGCGTAGGGGAAGGTTCTGCCTCTCAAAAAATCTTTCAGAGTTTAGTAAATATGTGAAATGACTATGACTGCAACTGTATTGTGGCTCTCTTTAAGTCCTCCAAGTTTTACACAGGAGGTATAAAATAGTCCATAGTAGCTGACTATTACTTTAGGCCCTTCCCACATGATTTCTGCTGAAGCTTTAGTTCAGTATCACTTCTGGTGCTGAAGGCTTTCTGGAATAGGAATGGATTTACTGCAGGATTTCTGCAGTGGTTCTTGAATGGTAAAAAGGCCTTTTTAAAAAAAAAGGTTTGAGGTTTATTAGGGAAGAAGTCAGAGATCAGATTACAGAAGTAAAGAGATGGAAAAGAGCAGCTCTGCTTCTGACACCAGGGCTGAAGAGGCCAGGGCTCCTAAGGGAGGAAGCAGATAAGGGAGAGTAATTTTGGGGAATTTTGGTGGAGGAGAACAGGTGATCTCAAACACAAGCAAGTTCAGAAGCCAGCTGGAGGGTTATTGAGGCTTTATTGGGTATGGTTTTGTGATTTCCAAAGTTGCAGTGAATGCTGCATACAAGATATTTGAGCTCTGTGTAGCAACCCTTCCAGCTACAAACATTTTTTTTTAGGAATGAAGTAACCTGGAACAGTCCACTGCAGTTTACTTGGAGAGAGGTTTTTGTAGAACAACATATCCCCTGCTGTGGACTTCTCTGAAAAAGTGTATATGTTACTCATTCCTTTTTCTTAATAAAATTCTGGTTTTTTAGGCAGCATTCCTGTGCCCTCAGCCAGTCATGCCCTCGTTGTACCTCTTCCACCAGTTCTTTGCCAGCTTTCCCAGCGCCATGTAGCGTGTCCGTGGTGCCACACAGGGCCACTCCAACAGACCTGACTAACATGGTGACAGCTTGGCCATGTTTGGGTATGGAAGCAGCAGCAGCAGCACACGCCCTGGCTGGCTGACAGTTGGCATCTGGCTGGACAGGAGCAGTCGGACACAGCTGCTGGAGTGATCCTGCTATTTAACAATCCATGTGGATGCATAGTTTGCATGCACATGTTGTATGCACACAGGGAAATGTTATCCAGAAATACCCAGTGCTGTTTGGGGGCTGGAGTTTTAAATACACATCAGGAAATATCAAAGTTATGATTCACATGGCGTCTGTAACAAGACCCGTTCCTTGGACTTCATAACAGTTTGCTCCATTGAATAATAAATGCTATTAATTTTATGCCTTAATATAGACATGGATCCACATTCTCAGTCTGTGTGATGTGTTAAACACTTTTCCTTTCTTTCATTTCTTGTGGGGTGGGGAGAAAAAGCCAGGAATGTATGTAGATAGGATATGTATCAGAAGCGATATGTACAAAAAGGTTAGTGTAGGAATGAAAAACTTGGCAGAATTTCCCATCCTTTTGGGATTAAAGATTAGCCAACAGCAGTGTGTCTCTACCTTTGATATATTGATTGTGTTATCATATTAGGTATTTAAGAAACCTGTCTTAGATGGTCCTTCGAGCTCTGTGGGAACGTCGCAGTGCTCTTGCAGTTACGTGAAGCTTTATGCATGAATTGTTTGATTCTGTCTGATCCTAGCCTTTAATCTACTTTTCCAAATATCATGCAGTTGTCAAATGTGGGTGGTGGAACTGCACATTTGCATGGAAGCAAGTGAAAGCCTTCACTACGAAATAAGCAGCTGAAGTGCATAAATTCTTGTGCTGGGAACATCGCCTGTGCCCGCAGCTCCACACTAAGGAGAGGAGCTCGTGTTCTGCATCTGGGAAAATACTGGCTCTGGAGACAGTTTAACACATGAGGCTTTCTCATGCCAAAGACACCCCCTGTCCTGAGAATGTGTGTGTGCAAAAAGAGTTTAACATAGGAGCAGCCACTGTTGATGCAAGTGTCGTGCAACCCAGTGTCCCCTTGCCAGGAGTGGTCAGCAGCAGATGCCAGAGAAAGAGCACAGGGACAGGTTAAACACTTTACCAGGCTTTGCTCGTTTGGTTTCTGAAATTCCTGAGCTATAAGTTGTTCCTCTGTGTTTAGTAGCCCTTAGTGGATTTCTTCTTCAGGGCGTGTATGATTCCTTTTTGAAATCTTACAGATTTTATTTTTTAAGCATCCTCAACACCCATAGTGAAGAATCTTCAGAATTTAGTTAAGTGTTCTGTAAAAGAAAACCTTCTCCTGTTTTTAACCTCACCTTTCATTCCTGTACTGGAAGAGACAGTGAGTGGTTGTTGCCCATTCATCTCCTTCAGATCCCTCGTGATTTTGTATTCCCCTCTCATGTCCACCCTCAGCAATCTCTTTTATGGACTGAAAACTGACTGTGCAGTTTGAAGTCTGGCAAAAGCATTGAGGAGCTTTGAAAGTCAGTCCCTGCCAGGTGCTTCAGGGCATTCCTGCAGGATTTTTTAGATGTAGGTTAGTGGAATTTTACTGTGCTGTATTTGCTAAGTATTGTCATAAGCCTTCCCTACAAGAGCTGAATTGAAAGATGGACTTCAGGCAGCACATACTTTCTGTGCTGGAAAAGAAGATAATTTGATGATACAAGTGGCAGAGAAGAAAGTTAAAAAATTGGAAGAGAGAGGAAGCTCTGGGAGGGAATTTAGAGTTAGTAGTACCAGGCTTGCCTGGAAGTGTTTGAGAGCAGAGAGGTCTAGCTGACGCTGTGGAAAGCCTTTATGGGATGATAACAAGCAGTGAGGAATATGGAAGCAATTAGAGAAGAAAGGGTTGTCTGTGTGAAACGCTCTCCCCTGAATTCTGCCACAGCTCAGAGATCTCATCACAGCTCTGCTGCTCTGTAACCAACAGTACAAAACGCTGGATCGACGACTCTTGTGCCTCGGTTACTTTTTTTGAGCTCTTACGTAGGTGTGTAAGTTCTCATAAGAATTTGCTACTGTGCTTTAAGCAAACAAGCAGCAAGTTTCTCCTCCTGTGTGGTGCCCCGTGCCAGGGGCTCAGCTGGGTCACAGCCATGGTGATCTTCCATGCCCTGAAAGCCAAGACTTGGAAGCAAGTGTGTGACCCTCTGAGGTTTCTCTTTGGAAATTAATAACCCCTCTTGCTTCCAATTTTCCTACTGGTCTTTGTATTTTTTTTCTCTCTTCCTTCATCCTAGCTAATGGATTCTTTGGGATCTCTTTTAATGCCTTGCACTTCACAGAGGGTCAGTAAATGAATCCACCCTTGAAATTCTTCTGATGAGGAAGGGGAAACAACGCATTTCTCTTTCCTCAGAGCTATCAGCTGACTAATCTGACGAATGAGCCACAAGGCTTTAGGTCACTCAAAGGTCTGTCTCAGTACTTGGCCCTCAGTACCTCTTGTTTCCTTCCTGTGCCTCTCACATTCTCTACTGAGGGAGTTTAGACTGATGTAGTTGTGATAAAATTATTCCCTAGCCTGTTGTTGCTTGAGCTTCCTGAAAGAATGGGTATTTGGGATGTACAGGTCATGTGGTATAAAGTTGAGGAACAAGGTTTTTCTTACGTGTTTCTCAGTCCTAATTAGCGGCTCTGGTAACTGGCCATTTCATAGAGTGCTTGGTCACTGCAGCTGTGCTGGGATGGAGGGATGTGCTCTGGTTGTCACAGCCCTGGAAGCTCCTGCCAGTTCCTGCTTTACTCTTTTGCAAGTGATTCATGGTGGACTTGGGTATTTTATTTAATACAGATACACATTGCAGCCCTGTCTCCTTCACTTGGCACAGCCTTGTCTACTCCAATCATCCCTCCTCCATAAGATTTATGGCTGTACTTCCTTCCAACCCCTCTGTGTGGGTCAGTGACCCTGTCACTGCTGCGTGAATGTCACTGCCCAATTGTTTGAATAGTTTCCTGATGAAGAGTAACCAGTAACATGTCAGTTACTTTGGGTTCCCTCCGTGGAACTCCGGGTTCACATTCTTAGAAAAGACATGGGACTTGTCCAGGTACTTCACAATTCCTTCACTGGGAATTTTCCCTCTCTGAAGAGTCAATCTATCAGCAAATGGAGAAATTAGAGAAGTATCAGGCATTGGCTACACTAGTCCATTACCATTATTGCCATGTCTCTGCTGTACCAGCTCTGCCAAGACCAGGCTGTGAGATGACTTGCACAGAACTTTGGAACTTGAGAAGAAACCAGAATGTCTCCTAATCCACAAAACACTGTGTTATCTGACTGTATGCTTTTGAAGCAAGGAGGTGCTGATTCTTCTTCCTTTCTGGAGGTTTTAATTAATTAAAACGTGGAGCAGAGGCTCCAAAGAAGTCATGTCAAGCAGCTCTAAAGAAGAGGGAGAGCTGGCAGACCAACATTGTGTGCTGGAGATGGAGAATGCAAGAGCCGTGGGGAGATGGAAATCATGGTGGAAAAAGTGGCCCAAAAATGATGACACCCCGCAGGATTTTGGATATTGGCATTTCGGTAAAGTCACAGCTCTGGTGGCTCCTCTGGGTCATAGACTCTACAGAGTCATAGTTCTCAAGTGTGTCTGGTTGGCAAATCCATGGGGGGAATCATATGCCTGTGTGAAAACAGTTTTTGTCTTTGTTAGAGAAACAAAACTAACCTTTCCCTCTCCTTGTCTCTGTTCCAGTCTCTGTCTGCTGCTGTCTCTTCATACTGTTTCTCTTCCTGTCTGAGCTCACCGGATTCATAGCCACTGAAATGTAAGTAAAAGTCGTATTTTCCCTTGTTTGTATATATGTGCATATATGGATCTTTACAGCTTTACTGTTACCTGAGAGAAATATTCCTGTAATTTCACTAAGTCACTTAGTTGCCTGATGGGGTTTGGATTCCTTTTGGTTGAGTCCAAATTTTCAAACATTCATTCAGTTTTTTTAATTTACTAAAATACACTAAGCAAACTTGGTTCTAAAATATTTCTGATAGAGAAAACTGTTCCAGACCTGCTTGATCCTTTATTAGCTGCATACTGGACTGTTCTCTGAGTACAGTGAGTATTTTTCACGTGACCACAGATCACATCAGTGCTGTGGTGACCCAGTGTAAGGTAACAGGAGTGCCAAGGTGATCAGTGCCATCGGGTGCAGTTTCCCTCTTCCTCCTTAAACTGTTGATTTCTTGTCCTCATCTGAGACTTGTTTCCCCTCTCCTCCTGAATAGGCACTTTCCTTTGTACTTGTTTGATTCAAAGTGGTTCTCAAAAAGTCGTGTATTTTTCGTCAGTGATACCATATGTTTAAGTGTGTGGTTGCCTCCTGGTTGGATTCACATGGCTCTGAGTCTGGGGTCCCATTGCAGATACAGTGGGATCTCTGACAAGGTGTTTTCTTTCCCCTCCCTTCCCTATGGATAAATGGGTATCACATGCTGCCAGTCTTCCCTGGATACTTATGCAGATGCTTTTTTGAAAAATAAATTGCATAAAATATCAATTATTATTAGTTTAATATAAGTGATTCCTTTTTTTAATGTCAGAGCTGACTCTGATACATGCAGATGGCTTTAGTCATGTATGAGATTTTTTTTCTTTCGGTTGAGCCTGACTTGGAAACCTAGTTGACAGGTTTTGTGCCTGAAGAGAAGTTGTCCCAGGTAGAGACAGCTTTGAGCAAAATGGAAATAATTCCTGCTCTTAAAAATTACTCATAGAACAAGTACTTTAGTTAATCAGATTTTATTTTTTTCCCTGTTCTCGTGTTCCTCCTGCCATGAAGTAAAGTTTTAGTATCTTTTAACACAGGTACCTTTGTTTTGGGCTCTAGGAAACATTCTCCGTCATCCTGCTGATGTAGCAGTGAGCTCATTAGACTGTGATGCACAGTTCCTGGATAGTTAGGAAGGGTGGAACTTCTGTCAGACTCACATGATGGTCCAGGTAGCAACAGATGTCACTGCTGAGCAAAAAGGCTCTGAAATGCGTTGGGCTCCTGTGCTGTGTTTAGATTGACCATTCTGATAACCATGAGGCTCTTTCATTGTTTTTGTGCAGCTCTGTCTTGGGTCAAAAATATAATTTCAGGAATAATTTTAACCTTGACTAATGTTTAACCTAAAGACAGAAGTGTAATCAAGCTCTAGCTGATTTTTTGTGCCTATTGCGCCATTCCTTCTGAGATGGTATCTTAGATTTCTTACTCATTCCCTGTTTCTTTGGATTCAGTTCCGTGTGTTTGCTTGTGAAATACTGGGGTCACCTTATCAATCACTTTACAGAGCTGAATTTACTTGGATTTCTTGTTTTAAAAAACAGAGAAAAGCTGGACAAATTGCTTCAAGTAAAATAGCACTTTTTCTTACATTCCTCTTAGATCTCCTTCTCTCATCTGCTCTTCTTTTTTCTTTTAGTTGATGCCTTACAGGAGGAATTAGTAATATCTACCTAATTTTGATCCAGGAATGCACATGCCTTTATGTGGTATTTCCCTGACTAGAAATTTCTTTTTGAACAACAGAATTGTATGATTCTCTGAGGGCTCTTCATGCTTTTTTCTTAACTAGATGATGCATTTTCCACAAAGATATTGTAGGTGCTGTTAAGTTCCTGCATGCTCAGCTGACAAGTTCCTCCTTAAAACCTCAGAGAGATGGTAACTGCCTTTCCCAGCAGGAGCTGTGTGGGGAGAAGGTGTTTGCAAGCAATAAAGCAGTAAAATTTTAGAGGGGGTGTCATGGAAGAGTCTGGGACAAATGACTGCAGGAACCTGATTCGTCATGGACCGTCCAACACAACAGCTTGGAGAGTATGAAAACCTCCTTGAGATGAGTTACAAGTCATCAGACTCTTGCTGGGAACATTCACCCACAGCAGTTGTGAAAAGGCTCCCCCAGGACAGCGGAAATACTTCAGAAAGTCACTTAAAGTCCTTCCCAGTTCAGTGACTTCGTGAAGCAGGAGTAAACTTTTCTTTTTCCATCTCTTACTCATTGCTTTCTCTTCTGAGAAACCCAGTACAAGTTGTTGTGAGCCTCTTGTGCTTCCTTTTCAATCAGGTATTACTGGCAGTGCGTTGTGACAGCATTGGGAATAATGAGAGGGGAGCTCTGCGTGATCTGGAACTGTGTGAGAACTCTGTGCCTCCATTTAAACTGAGTGGTAGCAAATAACAGGGGAGATATTATCTCACGAAGATTTTTGAGCCTTGTTTGCCCATGATTCAAATACTTAAGAAGATATGGAAGATTCCTTATGTGCAAACTGTTCAATTCTCTTCAACTTTTATTACAAGCTTCAAGTTTCCTTTGTATTGAGTCTCTCACAACAGATATCTCCCCCAGAGTGAAGTTTCCTAATATCAGCCAGGATCTGAATGATTAATAAGAGTGTGCAGTTACATGGGATGAACTTCCCTGCTTTGCCAGTGCCAGCTGTACTATGAGGCTGCATCACTCTTTCTCCTGTTGTGTCATATTTCTCTTAAAGGGAAATATGGCTTGCCAAAGCCAGGTTGAATGGGGATAGCTGCACATTTTTGATGGCAAAGTGAAATTGGGAGCACTTGGCCTGGTGCCTCCTGTCAGACACAGCAAGTTCTCTGCTGTGGACTCGTGGTTACCTCACAGCACAGTTACAGCCAGTGATTGTGCGTGGTGTGTGTGCATGGCCAGCCTGCTGCAGGGCAGGTCAGCACCAACCTCAGCAGTGGTGCCCACAGGATTCACTGCCTGACTCTCACCAATGAGAGGTTTCTTTGGTGTCTGCATTTAAAGCAAGAGGTTACTGTAGTTTGTTGAACTCGTGCTGCAGCGTGAGAAAAGAAGGTCTGCTCTGCACCACACTAACCCCTAATACTTGCTGGCTTCTACCCATCGTTGGACTTTCTTCTACATTCATATGACTGTAGCAACTTAAATTCCTGGTATTACTAGAAATCTCAGTTTGGTCACTCTTGCCCAACTTCAAAGCTGTGTTTCCTTGACCAGCCCATTGTCGTAGCATTTATAGTCTCAGCTGCTAAAGACTTGTCTGGGTGGCAGAAAGCCAAAAAATTACACCCTCATCTCGAGGATCACAGTCATAACACTAAACCCAAATATTACCTACAAGGGGAGGACAGTGTGCATCACAGCAGCTGTGTCATAACTTGTGTGAGCATTTCTAATGAGCACTAAGGTTGTGTCTGTGCACAGGAGTTGACTCCAGTTAGGAAGTTGAACTAAGACACTGTGGTGTGTTCCAGGGGACACAAGGAAGCTCATGGAACAGGTAACACACTGCAGAGACACATCCTATTTTGCTGCTGACTGGTTTCCTGTGGAGACAAGCCCTGAGTAGGATAGAAAACTCTACTCGTAGGTTTATCGTGTGACCCTAACAGGCCTCTGAGCAGCCATGAAGGAAATCAAAGCTTGGTCCTTAGATGGGGCTACATCCTTCTCAGGAAAAACACAGTGAAGGGCTGGTAAGGGAAGAGAGGTTTTTCTTTGCTCAGACGCAACGCATTGTTGCATTAAGGGGAGGGGGAGTTTAACTCTGGAAATCAAGGATCTTCTTGATTTTTGGGGTTTTTTTTCTGTCCAAACTGAGAGTGACCGAAGACTTAGTCCAAACTTCAGGCATTGGAAGGGGCTGCCCAGGGAGGTGGTGGAGTCACCCAGGAGGTGTTCAAGGGGCAACTGGATGTGGCACTCAGTGCTCTGGTCTACCTGAAAAGGTGGTGAACAGTCAAAGGTTGGACTCAATGATCTTGGAGGTCTTTTCCAACCTTTATCATTCTATGATTCCAAACCAAGAACCTAGATGATGAATCCCCTCAATTCTGTAAAAGACAGCTAAAGAAAATGAGGTCTCTGTTCCACATGTGAACCTCTGCAAAATGAACAGCATCACTGTTGTCCCACTGAGCCAATGACTCAAGTGGCTGAAGAAACAAAGCTAAAGTGTTAAATGTGTCTGGTATTTCCTGGGTAAGAGGTTGAGAGTAGTCTGAGGGCTAGAAATGGCTCGTCCTGCCTTCAGCAGCCGTCCTCATTCATCCTGCTGCTGTGTTGCAAATCAAAAGCATAGAAATCACCTATCTCTCTTCTAATTAACTCAGATCTGCGCTAGACATTAATAGCTGGCAAGATGATAATCTTGCAGTTTTATCACGGTAATTAGGTCATGAATTATGTCCTGTAAGATCAATAATAGTTTTCCAAGTATTCCATCATTAAGGAGTAAAGATGTAATTACCTACTCTCATCTGCCTTGCATTGGCAGCCAGGGGAAGGGGTAGGAGGGTATGAGTGTGGTGCTTGTGGTATGAATGTTGCTGCTCAACACTAATTCATCTGCCACAGTGCACTGTAGAAAGCAGCAGACTGTTCCTGACAGTGTTTTTTTTTTCCTTTCTTTTTTTTTTAATGTAGTAACAGACAAAAAACTATCTGAAGTGACAAGTTTGCTAATTGGAAGGCTGTGGCCCCCTGCAAGCCAATTAATTACTTCAACAGAATATCTGTAATAAAATTACTTTCTTTGCAAAAAACCATAAATCGTGAATCATAGAATCATAGAATATCCTGAGCTGGAAGGGACCCACAAGCACCATCAAAACCCAACTCCTGGCCCTGTGCAGGACACCCCAACAATCCCACCGTGTGCCTGAGAGTACTGTCCAAACACTTCTTGAGCTCTGAGAGGCAATGTCCAAATAATTTCTTCACTTAAAGTGACTGGATCATTAAGGTAACTGGGGACCCTCCTTGCTTTAATCTTACA